ACAGGTCTGTGGGTTCGTTGTGTGAATTAATTAATTAATTAATTAATTCACAACGTTGCATTCAGTGCAGCAAGGTATCAATTTAGCCAATGAGATCACACCACACCAGAGCTAGGCTACACGTTGATCTCGCCATTCAAACTTCACCCGCCAGTTCACTGCCAACGCTGTAGCCTATTTTATAGCCATTCAGCAAGCAAGAGTATCGATGCTTCTCTCCTCAAACAGGCCTAGGCCTATTACTTTTGGGGTTTTTTAAGTTTCAGACTATATTGCTGTTCATTGTCTATACACACACTACTCATTGAAGGGCTAGAGAGAGGGGAAGAGATAGGCCAGTGGAGTTGCCAGTGGAGATGCATCAATTGCGTCAGAAGGGAACAGTGAAAAAGACAGAGAGATGTGTAAGTTAGAAGTTAATTAATATATTAAATCATCATTCGTATAGCCTATATTTTAGGCTATATATTATAGGCCTGCTAAAGTTAATCTAGGTGACCACCTGAGCGATAGGCAACCCTAAACGACAGAGATAAAAAGAATATTCACCAGAGTTGACCCTAATCAATAAGTGGTTGCACAGATTTAGATAAAGCACTCAAATTAAAACGTAGTGTCAACATAACCACCCAAATGTATCAACGGCTGATCATTAGGCTATGGACAGGTTGCTATGGACAGGTTGCTATGGACAGGTTGCTATGGACAGGTTGCGTGCATGTGTTTCTATTTTCTAATGGTTGTCAATTTCATCTTCATGCCCGTCACAGCTATCTCTATACAGTATGGGGGATACAACCATCCCAGCTCTGCAGGTTTTTGCCAACGAAGAGACAGAAACATTAGATCATTTGCTTTGGTACTGTCCATATGTAACTTGTTTTTGGTCGCAGGTTCAGGAATGGCTGAAGAATCTACCTGCAGCTAACTCTGCAAATAGCACTGCTGGGTGATTTAAAAAGTCATAGTCAATCGATCAAGTCATAGTTAATCGAATATTACATTATTCTGATAGCAAATGATTACATCATTACATTTTAGAAGTTCTCCCACAAGACCTTGAAAAATCCTCCTGTTTGCCATGTTTGAGAGAGTGTGTGGGTGTGTGTGCGCACGTGTGTGTGTGTATTTGTGTGTGTGTGTGTTTGTGAGAGAGAGAGACACTTAGTCTGCAGACAGACAGTCTACAGCTGATATGTACAGCTGAGAGATTAGTCTGGCAATCAGCCACAAAGCAATTATCAGCCAGCGAGATGAAACCATCACCTCTCAGAAAGGTGTTTCTCTATGCATTTAAAAGATGAAAACCTGAGTGTGCGTGCACGTGTATATGTGTGTGTGTATGTGTGTGTACGAGTGTGTGTGAATGTGTGTGTGCACGTGTATATGTGTGTGTGCGAACTTGTGTGTGTGTATGTACAGTAGCAGTCAAAAGTTTGGACAAACCTACTCATTCAAGGGTTTTTCTTTATTTTGTACTATTTTCTACATTGTAGTTGATGTTGAGATGTGTCTGTTACTTGAACCCTGTGAAGCATTTATTTGGGCTGCTACCTGAGGTGCAGTTAACTCTAATGAACTTATCCTCTGCAGCAGAGGTAACTCTGGGGCTTCCTTTCCTGTGGCGGTCCTCAAGAGAGCCAGTTCATCATAGCGCTTGATGGTTTTTGCAACTGCAAAGTTCTTGAAATGTTCCGTATTGACTGACCTTCATCTCTTAAAGTAATGATGGACTGTCGTTTCTCTTTGTTTATTTGAGCTGTTCTTGCCATAATATGGACTTGGTCTTTTACCAAATAGGGCTATCTTCTGTATACCAACCCTACCTTGTCACAACACAACTGATTGGCTCAAATGCATTAAGAAGGAAATAAATTCCACAGATGTACTTTTAAGAAGGAACACCTGTTAATTGAAAAGCATTCCAGCTGGTTCAGAGAATGCCAAGTGTGTGCAAAGCTGTCATCAAGGCAAAGGGTGGCTACTTTGAAGAATCTCAAATATATAATATATTGCGATTTGTTTAATACTTTTTGGGTTACTACATGATTCCATATGTGCTATTTCATAGTTTTGATGTCTTCACTATTATTCTACAATGTAGAAAATAGTAAAAATAAAGAAAAACCCTGGAATGAGTGGGTGTGTCTAAACTTTTGACTGGTACTGTATGTGTGTGTGTGTGTGTGTGTGTGTGTGTGTGTGTTTTGCATATCTGTGTTTCCATGTGTTTGATAGGTGTTACTCAGTAGTTTGATGGCTGCTGTCAGAACATAATCTGTTAAGATGTTTCCTTGGGGTGGGACAAGATGGCAGAGTGAGTGGTCGCATTAAACTGAGTTCCTGAACTTTAAATTAAATTCAAGCCCTAATTTGAGTTTGACGACGAACACAGTTAAGGTTACGTTTCTTACGGTATTCTTTTTTTATTTTATTTTTTTTTTTTCAATTAGTTGGTGGTTTACCGAACATCACCTTTCCACTTTGTTATACTTCAAGAAAGTTCAGCCAAGACTAGCTAGCAATAAATCAGTGTTAGCTAGCTAACTAGTAACATTAGCTGAGATGGAAGCTATCAAAAATGTAGAGGGAGCTGTGGTAAACGAGGTGGAAACTATCAACTAAATGGTAGATTTTGACACTCCCCCAGAAGTAACAGTACCGAGGAATTCATTTGGTACAGGTTTACATTTTTTAATTATACCTTTATTTAACTCAGCAAGTCAGTTAAGAACAAATTTTTATTTACAATGACGGCCTACACCAGCCAAACCCGGACGACGCTGTGCCAATTGTGCGCCGCCCTATGGGACTCCCAATCACGGCCGGTTGTGATACAGCCTGGCATCGAACCAGGGGATCTGTAGTGACGCCTCAAGCACTGCAGTGCCTTAGACCGCTGCGCCACTCGGGAGCCCAAATAACCCCTTGGAAACCCCCCCAACCTGAAGAGACTACTAGAAAGTGACGCCGGGCAGACTCAACCATCCCAGCCTATCACCAATGAAGCCATCTTCGAGGCAATCCAGGGTATAAACAAGACATTTGACGAACAAGCTATTCCGCTGAATGGCTTTGATGAGAGGATTCATAAAATTACCATCTCGATAGCAAGCGTTTCCAAAACTGTAATGCAGCAGGCATTAAGGATATCACAACTGATGTGAAACTGTTGGTGACAAGAGAAAACGAGGAGCTGCACAGCCAGAACAGGACTGATACAAGCTGTACAGCCAGAACAGGACTGATACAAGCTGCACAGCCAAACAGACTGATACAAGCTGACAGCCAGAAAAAGGACTGATACAAGCTGCACAGCCAGAACAGGACTGATACCAACTGCACAGCAGAACAGGACTGATACAAGCTGCACAAGGGCCAAAAAGGACTGATACAAGCTCACAGCCAGAAAAAGACTGATACAAGCTGCACAGCAACAGGACTGATACAAGCTGCACAGCCAGAACAGGACTGATCAAGCTGTACGCCAAACAGGACCAATACAAGCTGTACAGCCAGTGTGAACATGACCGTACAAACTGTAAGCCAACGGGCCGTAAAGCTGCACAGCCAGAACAGGACTGATACAAGCTGACAGCCAGAACAGGACTGATAAAGCTGCACAGCCCGAACAGGATGATACAAGCTGCACAGCCGAACAGGGCTGTACAAGCTGCACAGGAGGAAAAAGGACTGATACAAGCTGCACAGCCAAAAACAGGGCTGATACAAGCTGCCAGGAGGAACAGGACTGATACAAAGCTGCACAGCCAGAACGGACTGATACAAGCGTTACAGCCAGAACAGGACCATACAAGCTGTACAGCCAGTGTTTGAACATGACCGATACAAGCTGTACAGCCAGAACCCGGACCATAAAGTGCACCAGAACAGACTGATCAAGCTGTACAGCCAGAACAGGACTGATACAAGCTGCACAGCCAGAAAAGGATGTACAAGCTCAAAAGCCAGAACAGGACTGATGATACAAGCTTTTACACCAGAACGGGCTATCCCAACTGCACAGCCAAGAACAGGACTGATAAAGCTGCACAGCCAGAACAGGACTGATACAAGCGCACAGGAGGAACTGAAATGATACAGCTGCAAAAGCCAAAAGGACTGATAAAGTGCACAGAGGAACAGGACGATACAAGCGCACAGCCAGAACCCGGACATCAACGTTACAGCCAGACAGGGGCCAATACAGTGAAAGCAGTTGAAAAATGACCGATAAGCTGTACGCCAGAAAAGGACGATACAAGCTGCATGGCCGAAAGCAGATAAAGCTGTACAGCCAGAAAGGACTGATAGCTCACAGCCAAACAGGGATTTCAAGCTTACCCAGAACAGGATGATACAAGCTTTTACAGCCAGAACAGGACTGATACAAGCTGTACAGCCAGAACAGGATGATACAAGCTGCACAGCCAGAACAGGACTGATACAAGCTGCACAGGAGGAACAGGACTGATACAAGCTGCACAGCCAGAACAGGACTGATACAAGCTGCACAGGAGGAACAGGACTGATACAAGCTGCACAGCCAGAACAGGACTGATACAAGCGTTACAGCCAGAACAGGACCAATACAAGCTGTACAGCCAGTGTTGAACATGACCGATACAAGCTGTACAGCCAGAACAGGACCGATACAAGCTGCATGGCCAGAACAGGACTGATTCAAGCTGTACAGCCAGAACAGGACTGATACAGGCTGCACAGCCAGAACAGGACTGATACAAGCTGTACAGCCAGAACAGGACTGATACAAGCTGTACAGCCAGAACAGGACTGATACAAGCTGTACAGCCAAAACAGGACTGATACAAGCTGCACAGCCAGAACAGGACTGATACAAGCTGTACAGCCAGAACAGGACCGATACAAGCTGTACAGCCAGAACAGGACTGATACAAGCTGTACAGCCAGAACAGGACTGATACAAGCTGTACAGCCAGAACAGGACTGATACAAGCTGTACAGCCAGTGCTGAACAGGACCGATACAAGCTGTACAGCCAGAACAGGACTGATACAAGCTGTACAGCCAGTGCTGAACAGGACCGATACAAGTGCCAATGGGGGCTGAGACTGAATGGGCTACATGAAACTGATGGTGAGAATATCAGAGGGATTGTGATTGACATTATTGGGAAGTTTGTTCCATATCCCCCTGCTACCCTGAACAACGCGGTAGATGTTGTACATTGGAGACAAGAGAAAGGAGAAGAACAGACAGGTCATCATGATGTTTGCGTTGTGGAACGTGAGAGACGAGGTGTGGAGAGCTTCGAAGCTGGCGCCGATCTGCAGGGAGAAAGGCATTCGCTTTGCAGAAGATTTGAGCAAGCGCGACAGGGACGCCCGTGCGAAGCTGTGGCCACAAGTGGATGAGGCAAGGCGCAGGGGGGAAAAAAGCCTTCTTTCGCGAGGGGTTTGCTGTCATTGACGGCCGTAGGGTGGTGCTACGTGACTGACTGATGCTTTACGAGTTGGCCTGCTTATACAGTAGTAGGCTAATGAAGCCATATACTTTTTCAACTGGTGAATTATTCATGCAATCGTTTATCTGAACACTGCATATAGATGATATTGCATACTGTTTGTAGTGGCGAGTTTTGGATGTGAACATTAACCAACGTAAACACACTAAATGTGGTTTTTGTTTGTCATTTGATGGCTTACTAAGATACCGGTCCATTTTTATTCATTTCATTTTGTTTCAAGATCGATATTATGTAAGTAAATCTCAATTTATTTTTCACGGCTTGATTAGCCTTCAGAGATGTATTTATTATATTTATTTTGAGAATTCAATTGAAGATGTAAACTATTAATATAATATGTGTTATTACACGATGGATCCATTTATTTTACCTTGTATGGTCGTTGCTGTTCGTCAAGTCCATTTCTGAAGGGTTTATGCTACTTTGATATTATTCAGGGTCCCTGTTTATTCTAGACAACTCTTCTTCTCTTCAACATGTATCTTTCCTTGTTATCATTGAAAACCAGGGGGTGACATAACAATATAAAAAGCAAGGCTATTTTTCCTTTTTGTAAAGATTCATTAAAGACTTACAATTTTGGACTTCACAATGGGGTGACAAGATAATTGTTAGCCATGGCTCATCTCATTCTGCTGGTGTGGCAAATACGTTTTCCAGGTAGAGTTTTAGAAAGCAGGTTTGATGATGAGGGTCACTGGATAACTATTGTTTTCGAATATAAAGGGTCACGTTACGTATTGGTACATATTTATGGTTATAACATACGGTCAAAAAACAATGTTCTTTAACATTTAACAGTTCTCAAACATCTATTAGTAAAGTCTTAACTGAGTTGAAAAACAAATATTCAACCGATAACATTATTGTTGGAGGTGATTATAATGTTGTTCCTGATGACTGGATGGATAGGTATCCCTCCAGGCATTCATCCCATTGTTTTAATAACTTAATTCTACATTTCTGCTCCAACTTTCAGATATTTGGCTTTCTCAGAATCCAACTTTAAAACAATTGTCTTGGTTTAACTCTACAACTAGCGACAGACAATTAAAAATCTAGAATTGATTATCTTCCAATCTTATGAATCTTGTCAGTGAATGTAATAATAATAATAATATGCCATTTAGCAGACGCTTTTATCCAAAGCGACTTACAGTCATGCGTGCATACATTTTTGTGTATGGGTGGTCCCAGGGATCGAACCCACTACCTTGGCGTTACAAGCGCCGTGCTCTACCAGCTGAGCTACAGAGGACCACCATGTAGTATTCCCTCAGCTCCTCTGACCGACCATTGTTCCATTATTCCTTCCTTTTGTTTTGATAATGAGGAGATTTTCTAAAGCATACTGGAAATGTAACTCTTTTCTTTTAAATAATGAGTCATTTTGTTAACAGTCTAAAGCTCTTATCAGAGAGACCTGTCTCCATTCTGCTCTTTCTGCAACTAACAAATGGCAAATGATTAAATTCAGTATTCGATGTCTTGCCATCACTACTGGTAAAATGCTAGCTCGGAAAAGATTCTCCAAGCAGATGGATATTATTGTTGATATTAACAGGCTGATCAACAAACTTAATTTAAATGAAGATGAAAAAGCCGAGCTTGCTAAATGCCAATGTGAACTGGACGACATATACAACAATAAGGCACTGGGTGCCTTCATCTGTTCAAAGGCCAAATGGATTGAGAAAGGTGAAAAAAAAACACATCTTATTTCTTTAATTTGGAGAAGAGTAGGCAGACTATGAATGGTATTTCATCAATTTATGTAAATGACACTATATCTGATGATCTTTAAGTGATTAATAAGAAAATACAGTCTTTCTACAGTTCACTGTATCAATCTCATCTTTCGGAAGGCGACTTGGATTCCTTTTTTAATTCAGTTAATAACTCTGTTAAGCCTATAGAAGAAAGGTTTAAGAAACTGTGATTCTGATATAGATATTACTGAGTTAGACCAAGCCATTAAACAAATGCCTATAGGTAAATCTCCTGGACCGGATGGCCTGACTCCTGAATTCTATCAACATTTTTGGCCTGATATTAGAGAGTTATTGCTTCGGTCTACAAAGAGGGTATTGCTAATGCTATCTTACCTCCTCCTTTGAGACAGGGACTAATAGTTCTTATACCAAAACCAAAGAAGCACTCTCTTTACCTGGACAATTGGAGACCAATTAGGTTGTTGGAAACTGACTTTAAGTTACTAGCCCATGTCTATGCCAATAGGCTGAAAAAAGGCCTTGATGAAATAATCAATCAACCTTCATTAAAGGAAGGAGTAAGCATAACCATATACGATTGGTTTTAGATATTTTAGATTACAGTGAGTTCATAGAAGATGATGGCTTTATATTGTTTTTATACTTTTTTTAAGGCTTTTGACACTTTAGAGCACAACTTTTTATTTAGAACTCTCTCTACTTTTGGATTTGGGGAGAATTTCTGTAAAGTGATAAGGATGATATATAATGATATTAGCAGTTCGGTGGCTATGAGTAATGGCACATCCCCTCGTTTCTCTATTGCTAGAGGAATTAGACAGGTTTGTCCAATCTCCCCTCTTTTATTTATTTTAGCCACAGATTTACTAGCCATATTTATTAACAAATCTGAGAATTTAAAAGGGATCCGTATTTTTGGTAAAGATATAAATATCAGTCAATTTGCAGATGATACTGCCCTTTTCCTAAAGGATAGGGTGGCTATTCCCTTGGCTATTTACAGAATAAAGAAATGTTCTATGGCCTCTGGGATGACTCTCAACCTTAACAAATGTGATCTCATGCCATTTCATTGCTGTGACTCTGTCAACATTGCCTCCATACCTGTTAAAAAGGAAGTTAAATATTTAGGAATTGTTATCACTAAAAACGTTTCAGATAGAGAATATTTAAACATCGATAATAGGAGTTTCATTAAGTCAGTGGCTGCAACGTGATATCTCAATTTTGGGTCAGATTCTTTTGTCCAAGGTTGATGGCTTATCTAGAATAATTTACCCAAGTCATAATAATAAACTTGGTGGACTTGAATTCCTAATGAAATGTGATTTTGACCCTCCAAAATTACCTGTGAAATTGTCTAAGTTTCACCAGCAAATGTTATTTTTCTGGAAAATGATATTCTAGCACAATTTCTCCCCCCTTAAAACATTTTTTATGGAGTTATTTAAATTAATAGGAAATCAATTTTCAAAGTCCTTTGGTTTGACAAGGGTATTCATTTTGTATGTGATTTGTTAGACAACACTGGGGAGTTTCTGCCATTTGATGAGTTCATTGGTAACTTTCAGGTAAATATTACTCAGAGAGAATATATGAAGGTTTGCAAAGCAATTCCACTTCCTTTACTTGGACTCATTAAGAACATTTTGTTATATTATGAGGTTGTTCCCACTTTTCCAAGTTTAACAATTTATGACTTTAACCTTTTGGATAAAACATTCTACAATAAGTGGATACGATTGGCAGTTAAGTAATTTTTGGTGATTATAATTCAATATATTGCTATGGAAGTGACCAACCCATGTTATGGTCAAACGCGACTACATTTTACCTTAATTGTCCAGTTATCCCAAAAGTTAAAGAAACTCATACCCTGTTAATGATTTCTTGCACCAAAGATTCAATTTTGACAAAATGCCTTGTGTTTTTCTTCCTCTGATTCAGAATCTATAGAGCATTTATTTATTTATTTTAAATTTTATTACATCCAATCTTCATTAACCTCTATCGGCACGTCACACACACACACACACACACACACACACACACACACACACACACACACACACACACACACACACACACACACACACACACACACACAGAACCACACACACACAGAACCACACACACACACAGAACCACACACACACACACACACACACAAACACAAAACCACACACACAGAACCACACACACACACACACTCATACTCACACATAAACAATACTTGTTTTCACTTGAAAACATGACATGAGCAATCTGATAAACAAGTGAGATCTCTCTATGATGAAGATGAGACATTATTTATGAAGATTTGACAATAGCCATGAGTCCAGATCCTTATGATCAATGAATCAATCAATCAATCATGGATCACACCAGATTGCCAGCAATTCCACAGAATCTGTGTGCCTCAACGTCCTCTTCCCAACCACACAGTCCTTCACTCAACTTCCTCTTCCCAACCACACAGTTCTTCACTCAACGTCCTCTTCCCAACCACACAGTCCTTCACTCAACTTCCTATTCCCAACCACAGTCCTTCATTCAACTTCCTCTTCCCAACCACAGTCCTTCATTCAACTTCCTCTTCCCAACCACAGTCCTTCATTCAACTTCCTCTTCCCAACCACAGTCCTTCATTCAACTTCCTCTTCCCAACCACACAGTCCTTCACACGAGCTCATGCTTCAACACTTTCTCACACTATTTCCATCCCCGACCTCACCCTATCCCCGACCTCACCCTATCCCCGACCTCACCCTATCCCTGACCTCACCCCATCCCCGACCTCACCCTATCCCCGACCTCACCCTATCCCCGACCTCACCCTATCCCCGACCTCACCCTATCCCCGACCTCACCCTATCCCTGACCTCACCCTATCCCTGACCTCACCCCATCCCCGACCTCACCCTATCCCCGACCTCACCCTATCCCTGACCTCACCCTATCCCCGACCTCACCCTATCCCCGACCTCACCCTATCCCTGACCTCACCCTATCCCCGACCTCACCCTATCCCTGACCTCACCCTATCCCCGACCTCACCCTATCCCTGACCTCACCCTATCCCCGACCTCACCCTATCCCCGACCTCACCCTATCCTGACCTCTCTCAGTCAACCAACCAATAAATAAAATAAATCTGTATCTCTCCTACCTGATTCGTGGTCAGACTTGTAGTCGTTGTCTGAGTCAGTGAGTGTGAGCACTGAGTTTTCTCTGCTGGACAGTCCTGAGCTGTGTCTGCTCTTCACCCCTCCTCCTGGTCCTCCTCCTGTTCCTCCTCCCCACAGCTGGATGGCTCTCTCTGGGGACAGGGCCCCCTCTGGGTCAGAGTCTGCATCAGGGTCTGACCCCGCACTGAGGGAGTAGCCCCTCTGGAGCAGGCCCAGGTCAGGACAGTAGGTTGGGGCTGCAGGGTGAACAGGAGCTGGGTCGCAAACGCCGAGTTCAGCCAGGGTGTGGAAGTTACCACCTGTGTGAGAGAAAGGAGTGTGTGTCACGGCACACACTAGTGCAAGGATTCAAGCAGGCAAGCAAGCACACATGCAAGCAGTCATATAAGCACAAACACACCATAACTCTGGGGATAGAAGGTTGAGGTACAGAATGACAGGTGAAGTGGAATGACTCAGGATATCTGAAATGAGGATCTGTCTTTGCATACTTCCCTGCCTTTACTGTTCCTATACTGTCTCCATACTGTTCCTGTTTCTATACTGTTCCTGTTCCTATACTGTTCCTGTTCCTATACGGTTCCTGTTAATATACTGTTCCTGTTCCTATACTGTTCCTGTTCCTATACTATTCCTGTTCCTATACTGTTCCTGTTCCTATACTGTTCCTATACTATTCCTGTACCTATACTTTTCCTGTTCCTATACTGTTCCTGTTAATATACTGTTCCTGTTCATATACTGTTCCTGTTCCTATACTGTTCCTGTTCCTATACTGTCTCCATACTGTTCCTGTTTCTATACTGTTCATGTTCCTATACTGTTCCTGTTCCTATACTGTTCCTGTTCATATACTGTTCCTGTTCCTATACTATTCCTGTTCCTATACTGTTCCTGTTACTATACTGTTCCTGTTCCTATACTATTCCTGTACCTATACTTTTCCTGTTCCTCTACTGTTCCTGTTCCTATACTGTTACTATAATGTTCCTATGCTGTTCCTGTTCCTATTCTATTCATGTTCCTATACTGTCCCTATACTGTTCATATACTGTTCCTATATTGTTTCTATACTGTTCCTGTTCATATAATGTTCCTGTTCCTATACTGTTCCTGTTCCTATACTGTTTCTATACTATTCCTGTACCTATACTTTTCCTGTTCCTCTACTGTTCCTGTTCCTATACTGTTCCTATAATGTTCCTATGCTGTTCCTGTTCCTATACTGTTCCTATACTATTCATGTTCCTACACTGTTCCTATACTGTTCATATACTGTTCATGTTCCTATATTGTTCCTATACTGTTCCTGTTCCCATACTGTTCCTGTTCCTATACTGTTCCTGCTCCTATACTATTCCTATATTGTTCCTGTTCCTGTTCCTATACTGTTCTTATACTATTCCTGTTCCAATACCGCCCCTACACTGTTCCTATACTATCCCTATACTGTTCATACACAGTTCCTGTTCCTATACTGTCCCTATACTGTTCATGTTCCTATACTATTCCTGTTCCTATACTATTCGTGTTCCTATAATGTTCCTGTTCCTATACTGTTCCTGTTCCTATATTGTTCCTATTCCTATTATGTTCCTGTTCCTATACTATTCCTGTTCATATACTGTTCCTGTTCCTATACTGTCCCTATACTGTTCCTGTTCCTATACTGTTTCTGTTCCTATACTGTTCCTGTTCCTATACTGTTCATGTTCCTATACTACTGGTCCTGTCCCTATACTGTTCCTATACTGTTCCTATATTGTTCCTGTTCCTATAATGTTCGTGTTCCTATACTGTTCCTGTTCCTGTACGGTTTCTGTTCCTATACTGTTCCTGTTCCTATACTGTTCCTGTTCCTATACTGTTCCTGTTCGTATACTGTTTCTGTTCCTCTACTGTTCCTGTTCCTATACTGTTCCTATACCGTTCCTATACTGTTCATGTTCCTATACTATTCCTGTTCCTATACTGTTCATGTTCCTATACTGTTTCTGTTCCTATACTGTTCCTGTTCCTATACTGTTCCTGTTCCTGTACTGTTCCTGTTCCTATACTGTTTCTGTTCCTATACTGTTCCTGTTCCTGTACTGTTCCTGTTCCTATACTGTTTCTGTTCCTATACTGTTACTGTTCCTATACTGTTCCTGTTCCTATACTGTTCCTATACTATTCCTATATTGTTCCTGTTCCTATAATGTTCGTGTTCCTATACTGTTCCTGTACTGTTCCTGTTCCTATACGGTTCCTATACTGTTCCTGTACGGTTTCTGTTCCTATAATGGTCCTGTTCCTATACTGTTCCTGTTCCTGTACTGTTCCTATACGGTTCCTATACTGTTCCTGTTCCTGTACGGTTTCTGTTCCTACACTGTTCCTGTTACTATACTGTTCCTATACCGTTCCTATACTGTTCCTGTTCCTATACTATTCCTATACCGTTCCTATACTATTCCTCATTCCTCTTTATGAGACAATCTTTATCAAAGATACACGAGGAGTTCTCCTGAAGGATCTAAGTTCTGAGGGTTCTAAGTTCTTTGGGCTTTGGAGTTACTCCTCCATATCTCCTAATCACCCTCTACTGTAGACTAGAGGAACCTACTCCTGCTTCAGGACACTACAGGGTCCATTTGATTTGGTGCAGTACAGCCCTAGCCCCATCTCACCAAATGGCCCAAAGACAAAATAACTAAACAAGTTGTCACGTCTGAAATAAATATATATAATTATCCAAATTAAAGCACATCAAAGAGGATCAATAACACCCGTTGCAGCCCAATTAAATGTAATGCTGAGGAGAAAGCAATTAAGGGAAAAGGGACCAATTTATCCTCAATGCTAATTAAAGCTACTATTGTAAGATAGGATGGGATGCAATCGCTCCCAATCAGCTGGTGGTAAAGAAGAGGCTGGAAAACACACACACACACACACACAGGAACACATGCATGCACACACACACAAATGTGCACGCTCATGCACACACACACGAGCACGCGAACACACAAAAAAATAGCTCTGTAAGGATCTGAATAATTGTGTTTGTAGTCAAGTGTCAGCCAGCAGTGTTGGCTGGCTGGGTTAATCATGACTCATCAGGCCTATGTAAGGACGGACGGTAATCAAAACTGGAATTATTCAGATTAAAAGTGTCTGCTGAATCTTCACTACACTGCTCCTCTCCTCTTTAATGACTTATCTCAAGAGTTTTACTGAAACTACACTGGCAGGAGAGACTTTAGAGGGAAACTGTACATGGTAGGAGAGACTTTAGAGGGAAACTGTACATGGTAGGAGAGACTTTAGAGGGAAACTGTACATGGCAGGAGAGACTTTAGAGGGAAACTGTACATGGTAGGAGAGACTTTAGAGGGAAACTTTACATGGTAGGAGAGACTTTAGAGGGAAACTTTACATGGTAGGAGAGAGTTTAGAGGGAAACTTTACACGTTAACTAAGACAACACAGATACAAGAGAAAAAAAGAGAAGAGAAGATAACTAACATTGCTACTGTAGATCTCTAAGACCTAACGATCTAAACGTAGCTACAAATCTACTGGGAGACTCACTCCTAACTACACAGGCCATACCTGAGACGAAGTATCGTAGGAACACTGGAGAAAACTCCACGTAGTCTGAGAGAGCAGGAACACACAAATCCTTTAACATCATGACAATATACAATACTCTATATAGCTACTATATTTCTATATTGCTGTATAGCCAAGTGTCTGTTCTACAATCAACATATAGGCAATCACAAGAATAGGTGAAAACAGTGTGAGAATAGAGGGTGTGTGTGTTGTTTATGTGTGTGTGTGTGTGCATGTGCACGTGTGTGCACATGCTTGTGTGTGTGTGTGTGTGTGCGTGTGGTTTACAGCCTGCCTTGTAGACCCACAAGGCTAACCTAATGGTGTTGTAGGTGAGAACCACACCAGGTAACAGAGAACATGAGAGAGACAGAGACAGAGTGTTATAGTGTTAACTAGCTCTGCTGCTAGAGACAGAGACAGAGTGGTATAGTGTTAACTAGCTCTGCTGCTAGAGACAGAGACAGAGTGTTATAGTGTTAACTAGCTCTGCTGCTAGAGACAGAGACAGGGTGTTATAGTGTTAACTAGCTCTGCTGCTAGAGACAGAGACAGAGACAGAGTGTTATGGTGTTAACTAGCTCTGCTGCTAGAGACAGAGACAGAGTGTTTTAGTGTTAACTAGCTCTGCTGCTAGAGACAGAGACAGAGTGTTGTAGTGTTAACTAGCTCTGCTGCTAGAGACAGAGACAGAGTGTTATAGTGTTAACTAGCTCTGCTGCTAGAGACAGAGACAGAGAGTGTTATAGTGTTTAACTAGCTCTGCTGCTAGAGACAGAGACAGAGAAGTGTTTCTAGTGTTAACTAGCTCTGCTGCTAGAGACAGAGACAGAGTGTTATAGTGTTAACTAGCTCTGCTGCTAGAGACAGAGACAGAGTGTTATAGTGTTAACTAGCTCTGCTGCTAGAGACAGAGACAGGAGTGTTATAGTGTTAACTAGCTCTGCTGCTAGAGACAGAGACAGAGTGTTTATGGTGTTAACTAGCTCTGCTGCTAGAGACAGAGACAGAGTGTTTTAGTGTTAACTAGCTCTGCTGCTAGAGACAGAGACAGAGTGTTATAGTGGTTAACTAGCTCTGCTGCTAGAGACAGAGACAGAGTGGTATAGTGTTAACTAGCTCTGCTGCTAGAGACAGAGACAGAGTGTTATAGTGTTAACTAGCTCTGCTGCTAGAGACAGAGACAGAGTGTTATAGTGTTAACTAGCTCTGCTGCTAGAGACAGAGACAGAGTGTTATAGTGTTAACCAGCTCTGCTGCTAGAGACAGAGACAGAGTGTTAT